GCCCTAAGCGGTCAACAATCATCTTGGCTCTCGCGTCAAAAAGCTCGTCAGCGTAGCTCAAAAGGTGAGCGTATGGCTATCTGCTGTCAGCTGAGCTATGATCGAACCTATGTCTTGACATTGCTTACATTGTTGCAGAGACGTTGTCGAATGGATTGCAGATCGTATTATCCATTTCAGTATATGAAGAAGGCGATTTGCCGTAATGTTAACCAATAAAGTATTTGTCGGTTACGGCTCATAAAATACGCAGAAGATAATCAGATCATACCTCCAACAACTATTACGAATTTCGTGGAGTTTTTGATTGTTTTCCGTTAATTTATCTGCCGCGGTGAGTAAGTGCATAGCGATGCGTGACTTACGCACCTGGATAGAGACTTTAATGCAGAAAGGCGAAATCTTTGAAAGTTCCATGTGAGTTAAAAATTGCATAAGCGATTATTATATTTGTAAGTGTGAAATTTTCAAACTTCAAATTAGCCTTATAGATACGCAGAAGATAATCAGATCATACCTATAGAAGTTTTCCTGCCTGAAACCTGAAACTAAACCGAAACCTTAAAAGATCCTTTTCCTTGAGGTTTCGGAGTTATAAAACCGGGATAACTTTCTTAAAGGCGTGTCCAGGCACATATGATCGCATGGCTCTTTCGCCTGAAAATTGATGAGGGGGTCCTAACTGAGGCAGTGCTTAAGGGGCAGCGCAAATTGTTCAATCACGGCTAGAAATCCGTCCCCGAAAGGTTTGGGCCAGACTGCGTGGCGTACGCGGCGTACAATCCTATGATGAAACGTACCGAGCGGACGTCACTACGCCCGTACGCCGCGGACTCTCTAGCTCAACCCAAAACCCCGCGCCTGCGCCGAGCGCAACCCAAAAACGACTTCGCTCACTTTAACAGTGCGTTCGCGCTGGGACCAATAAGTGTGACGGTCACGGCGCAGCAGCGAAGTGTTTGTGGATGGATTTCTCAGCCATGAATGAATTATTTGCGCTGCCGTTGGGCAGTGTCTTAGCTAGAGCCTCCTCGACAGTTTTCAGGCAAAAAACCGATGTGCCCAAATTTGCCTGGACACTGCCTTCAACGCATAGGTTCTTCGGATTGTGTAGATGATGTCACGCCTCTCCACGCAAAGAATCTCTGTTGCCCCTCCTCTATATAAAACTTCGGGGATAAAGATATGCAGACACTTCAGACTTATCGACATGAAATTTCTTCTTCAAAGTCTCCACTACATCGTTTCTACTTTGTTTTGCCTGATTATCCAAAATTTAAGGACCCTAATAGCCTAAGGAATGCAAGGAAGGACTTACCAAAGAAAAGCTGTTTTAAATCTTACTTCAGCAAGGTTTTTGAGCACGCATATTTTGATATTTAGCTTTGAACAAGATTGTTGGGCCCTTTAAACAAACATAGTGCAACCAAATTTTTTGAAAAAATTGAAAAAATAGCTGTGCTGTTCACCTGGCATAAATTTTTGATAAAGACATGGTAATGGAAATTTTATTTTCGAAATTGGCAGCATGATCAGCCTATTGCAAGAATTTTCAGTCATTTGGTTTCAATATGGCCGTCAGTGGATCCAAACCCTGCTCGAAGTTTCACCGCGCCTAAGTAAATTTTGCCCAAATGAGCCTGAAGGTTTGCGAAAGCTGTTCATTCGAGGGAGTTATTAAGGATTGTACGTAGTCTATTTTATTGACATCCTATATCCGACATCATATATAATGACTGAAAGTTCCCGCCTTTTTTGAAAAGTTAGTAACTTTCTGTTCGCTGTTGTGGCTATCAACGATGATCAGCGTTATTTTGAAGATTCCCCTCCTCGGTTATGTATACACCTCAGCTTGGCAAAGTCCCCGTAGAAGTCCGAGGGCGAATGTACTAGCCGGCCCTCGCCCTATAACTGCGATGACCAGCGCTAATGACTTTCTTGCTGCAAGGAGTGGTTTGCATCGCGCGAGCTTCGACAGGCAGTAGAAGCAAAAGGTAATTTTCTATTATCCAGTAATTCAATGTGTCGAACTGAAGGTCTACCATTAGAGTCAAAACGTCCGTTATTTACGTGGTTTTATACGTATAGATAGCGCACAACCGAGAAGGAAAAAGTAAATACGGGGCATGAAGCAAGAAATATTTTTCAAGCAAAGAACTGCTTAGAGTTCTCCTTATTGTTCTAAGCTTAGTATTAGGTTGTAAAGAAAGTTCCCTGGCACTTTTGGAAATTTCATTTTCAAAAGCATTTTTTCGGCGCCCGGTCGGATTTTGACACCAAGTTCTAAATACTGTTCAGTAGAGGGAAGCCTAAAGTTTTCAATACGGCTTCTGATTTTTATGGATGCCAAGATGTGTCTGATCTGCACATCAAAAAGGAAAATCTTTCCAACCATAAAAATTTTACAATTTTTCTTTTTACAGCCAATTCAATGCGCAGTTCAAAGAAATTCGTCTAATTCATGGGTGATCTGATTGAGAAGACTGTTAACTTCTGACCCGTAACTGCACTCGAGTTTTGCGATTTGCGCTTAGAAAATAAAGCGGTCATAATTGCCTCTGACTACAACTGTTTTCGCAGCTGGCGTCGCTTCTGCGGGAATCGTCACGCTTGGACGATGGGTGCAAAAGATGTGTGAAGCATTACCCCAACAATGTTCGCAGTAATCAAAGATTTGGCTCACCCTATGCAGAACGAAAAGACTTCAATGTAACTTACTCGATTGGTGCATTTTTAGGGGCAAAAAATGGTCGATTTTTCAAACATTCCGGAAAAAACTTTTTTGCAGGTGGTCCTGCAAAAATCTGAACGGTCCCTGTAACAGCCCCAGCAGACTTCTATACAACTACAGCATTTGAGCTCTGCAGCTTTCAGCGTGCCCGAGATAATCTTGCACAAACAGGCCACTTTTCGCGACGACCTTTTTCCCTTACGTGCATGCTGATGGACCGCAGTGAGGTGCTGAAAAGCCAGCAAGAAAAGTATATGTTGAGGACAAAATTGTCTTTGCAATGAAGTTTGTAGCTTCAAAAAAGAGTCGATCTGCTTGAAGCTACAGCGATTTAAAAAAAATTTCGCAAGTGCCCGAAAACTTTCTTTACAACCTAATATTAGTCTTCGCCAGGCTACATCGAACGAACCTGCCTGTCGTTGCACTCCTGAGTTGTAGTTACAAAACATATCTCAAGTCATATCAACAAATTTATGAGATTATTATTAGATAGTTTTTCATGTAAGCCTTTTATTAGGTTGGAAACTAAGTTATGCAACTGGTTTCATAACTTCCCTCTTACTCAACATGGCGCACTCAAATTTTGCCACTGCGTTGGTTATTACGTAAGCTGCAAGCGCAGCTGCTGTCCTACCAAAATCTGACGTCACAGTGAGGGTTACGGTAGGTGCATGGTATGAAGGGGAAAAATTCAAAGTTTGACGGATTTGGCTGAAACATGGCATAGGGGTGTTATCCAACATGCTGATCACGAAAACAATAGTGAAATTGCGTGATAAGGGCTTTTTTGTAGGATTACTGTAGGTGTACGATATGGGGTCTCACCCTAAACAAGGAGAAAGGCGTTGATTCAACAAATGAATGTGATATTTGAGTTTGGCAGGTCAAATAACCTTACTATGTAAAGTCTCGGCGGAATTTGAGCTTCGAACTCTTTAGTCATTGACGGTCGTCTCAGCAGCTCTTGCGTACATCGACTCTTTCGACTTTATGAGGACGCCAAATCTCGGCATGCCCTTAAATTTTGTTTCTTTCTTAATTGGCCAAAAGAGTCAACCTCAAGCAATAATTTGTAGGCGAATTCGGATTACTGCGCATGGTCTAGGCTGCCAAAGGCTTCATTTTAGCTTGAAATCCCAAAAATTCTCAAATTTCACTAGTTTTCGAAAAACGCCTGAAACTTTTCTGTTTCGTGTTCAAAATTAGACAATTTGTGCTCACTTGTAGCTCACATTGCCTTCTACATAATTCCAAAGCTTGAGTGCGCCACATCCAAAGAGAGTGAAGTTATGAAACCAGTTGCAAAACGCTTTTCTGCTCGCTTTTGCTGTCACTGCGATAAACATACTTTGAGTCATACAGTTCTGGCTACTGTTCTACCGCGGACAAAAACACAATTTGAAAAGGTTATACCTATGTTCTGAACTTACCTCGGAAGCATCATTATAAAAGTTGTTATTTTTCGGTTATGTTCTTTGTTGATTACTCTGTGTAAGATTGCAATTTCTGACAGCTGCCTCCCACACTTAGTTGCTTATAGAGAGAATAGCCTCGTCTAGTCTCTGACACTTAATTGTATTAGATGGAACAAGAGATCTTTTTATGAAGTGCTGATATGTCCCAATGACGCGAATTAGGACCACAAAGTCTGAAAATGCGCATTGTACGGATGAGATGTTGATGTGTGGGAAGATCATCTTCTTGTTTACTATGTATGGTTTTTGAACCGCTCCATTCACAACTTGAATTTATAGGGGGTCTAGAATTTCCAAAGTCCTAGAGTTGCGCTTAAAGTTTTCCTATGTTCTAATGTGCACTGGAATCCCCAGCTTAGGCAATTGTTGGTTAGTCTCAATAACGCTTTTGCTTTTTTGCTCATTTTTACAAATTCGATGCAACGATGTGCGATTTCGCTCTATTTATCGCAGTACAATGACACTGACAGGTTGGAAGAAAATATAAAAGTGAATATCAATTACAATTATCCAATTAAACCAAAACAGGCAAAAAAACAAGAAGACATCATTGGAGATGGGCAGTCTTAGGAGTTCGTTAAGTAGTGCGCATGGTGTACAATGCGCATCAAGCATATTAAATACAGCTGACTCAGGCATATCTGACAAGATTTTCAGAAAAATGAAAATTGGGGCTTCATGAAACGATTCCATCTGTCGAACTAAGAAGTGAGGTAAGCAGTGATGAACTACATCGCTCTAAGTACAATCAAATGGACTTGGGAGTACAAATTCAAAATACAAAAAATTTAAGCTTAGATACCGAATACATAGCAAGTATGATTCTCGGAAGTGTGTGAGCAGAAAGTCGATGTTCTTGGCGCTGAATAGGTAGAGTCGCCAGTGACGCAAACAACGAAGAACTGATCACCCTCGGGAATCAAGGCGTTCACCAAGTTGGCTTTTGAAGTTGTGGGATCCGTGCTCATGTACTGGAAAAGGTACCTTTGAAGAAAAACTTTTTTTGAAAGAGAAGACGAACTTTGCGGATGACTCGCTTTAGCTCGGGGTTATTGCACAATTTGTCGCTATGCTCGGCGTAGAAACGGTATTCTTTCTGGTCTTCGATCGATCTATTATGAGTAATCATTATACTTATCTTTGGCCAAATTTGCTCATTTCAATATGATGTAGAAAACTATAAGTACATACCTCTTTTTCCTTCCACCACATCCACCACAGCATCCGCCGCCTCCACCACCACCTCCTCCTCCTCCGAAAAACAGAGCACAAGTAGGAGTTACGAAGAATGCGATGGTGACAAGACAGATAAGAGAAGAATAGGCCATAGCTGAAGATGTTGCATATTACGGTAGAAAGGTAGAGAAGCATGACTTTATCGCGAGAAAGCCGCAAATTAATTTACAAAAGGATTTAGCACGTTAAAAAAGTTTCTCGCAGCAATGATTGATGCTAAAGTACCATAACGCTTAGCATCGGATTATCAACCCAGACACTTGTACCACACTAGATCAAAACTTCGAAAATGCTCCATCTGCTCATAAGTGCAAAAATCCTGCCGACCTCACAAAATCCCTTTCTCACTTCAAAACTTTGGATTTTACAAAGAGCCAAAGGAAACCCGGAGAAGATAGAGGTAGACATAGTCAAGGCACAAGCTTGAACAAATCATGGATTGGACAAAAGAAATGACTCTACTCGATTGCTGCAATTATTTATAGCGACGAAATGGGGGCGTTTCACACGTTCTATACCGTAATGTACGTAATGACAGTGCGATGTGAAAGCGAAATTCAGGTCGACTATTACGGGTTTAGAAATTATGTCTTCCCTATTCAGATGAGGTGCGCAGTCGCTCTATGTTTGCCATAATTGAGCCCGCATGGTTTCACATTTGAGTTCATCGCAACCTCAAATATTATAGTGAGAGAAACGCGGACCTTTGAGTGACGAGTATTAAAATTCTTATAGTTTTTTGTTTAAAATTTTGAGGCAGGAGATGGCAATGAAACCATTGATTTGTTCCAGAACTAAAAAGCTTTTCAATATTCTAAAATATCGGATCACCTTCAAGAAAATTCTTACGGATCCGCAACTCGGTCATCATACAGCACATAGTTATACTTTTATACCGAAAATTCCGGTTTTTTTTTCAAATTTTCAGTGCTTAACTTACTACCTCTCAATTAGTAGAGCAACAGAAATAATATAAAATTCTACGGTTATATTTACTAAGGTTTACAATATACAATCATGCATCTGGGAGAAGCTGCGGGCGGAGTTTGCCATATTTAGACTATAGTTTTTTGACTTCTTTGCGCAAAAAATAACAATCGCGTTTATGAATACTATTGTGCTATGTATCTTCTGCACACGACCTCGGAGCCTTTTAGGTTTTCAGGTAATTTTTTTTTCGATTTTTGATTCCAAACTTTACTACGACTTTGGTGAATATATTTTTAGAGCTTGTGCTCTATCAAAAAGTAGCTCAAGTCTGCTACAATAGCAAAACGACTTGATCTGTTTGGAAAACGGTTTAATTTTAGAACAATCTAATGATAATTATGATCATTCTATTAGGTTGATGGACAATTCTTGCACCAGAAAATCAAAAAAGAAATTATTTCAAATGCTCAAACAAACTAATCAATTGATGGAATATGCTCTTTGTTGTATACATTGAAGGTAGTTTTGTATAGATTTAATAAATTCGATATGAACCAAAATTGATAGGTCAGTTTTGAAAAATCGCGGAGACTAACTATTTGCGGAGACATAAAATCACTATTAACTTCTTATAGTCAAAAAAGAGTATGTTAAACCAAGACCAAAAATAAATTTGAATTTCAGTAGACCTTCTAGCAGTTCAAGTAACTAAAGATCGAAAAATCACGTTTTGAATATTTCTATTACTCGGCATATATCGTTGTCATATGCCCTCACAAGGGAAGGATACCACAACAGGATACTACAATATTAGTTGGCAATTGAAGATGAGATGTATATCATTAGATGCGCCTTTGAACGCTGATTCCAAATCTGCTTTCCTTTTTTGCGGTATAAGTTCTCAAAAGATGAGCGTTTAAATGTCCAGATTTCCCAAGCATTGAGTGGCTTAAAATCAGCGAAAAGCTCTAAAACAACACCTATGCGATTTCCACCAGTGTTCCTTCCTTGCAAACAATGTACTCGATACTAAAATGACTTTCCACTTTCCGGTGTTTTTGTACAGCTTTTCGCCAATTTTAGGCCACCTAAGCCCTGACGAATTTGGACATTTGAACGCCCACAACTTCTTTCGGAAACTTATACCGCAAAAAAGGAAGGCAGATTTGAAATCAGCGTTCAAAGGCGCATCTATAGATATGCATCTCATTTTCAATCGTCGACTAATGTTGGTATCCTTCCCTTGTCAGCAAATTTTGACTCAAGCACCAGCAGAAAGCGCAAGATTCTCTCTCTCTCTTTCTCTCTCTCTCTCTCTCTCTCTCTCTCTCTCTCTCTTTCCCTCTCTAAATTATGCATCAAATCAGAATATTTCATTGGAGCTGGAGGAAGTAACGGAATTTCAAAAAATTTAGTGCTAGAATTATGCATCAACCTATATCAATTTTGTAATTTGAAAAACTTGAATGTTCTATTTCTGATTAATCAGCTAGATTTACGATCGAGTCCTTTGGTCAGCTTTCTTCCAAGGAATATGCAGAATACTAAAACATTGGGAAACTTCAAAAGCAGCTGAAGCTCAACTTCATTTGAAAGTAAGCTGATGAACAGTCTGCCGATAAAACCCGCAATTCAAGCGCACTTATGATAGAAGGATGAAGCATACATGTTGAATATCACCGCTCTTTCTAGGAAAAGGGACGAAGAGGTTTCAATATTATTTTTAAACTTCCAACTTAGTATTTATGCGCTTATTTGTCTCTTCAACAATTTGAGTGCCCTGGAGCGGCCATAAGTTTGGGAAGACCATCTACTCGAATTTCACAAGGTTGAAAAATCTTTTAACGGATTTTAATGTTTTTGTATCTTTGGTTCTCTTTTTTCTGTTCTTAACTGTCATATACATGTATTTGCTTTTTGCGTTTTATTAAAGCTCTCAAAAATCGGCTTGATAACTTTGCTCCTCCCGGAGTTATACCTTTTCAATCAGAGCATGAACTGATCGTAAATTACACATGACGGGAAGACTAATGAGCAGATCGCTCGACTCTCGAACTGGATTTCTGTTATCCGGACCATTCTTTCATGACGTTCTCATGAAATACGTGCTTCGGGCTATTTTTTTTCAAAGATTCTGTGAGGACTGTCTTCTGGCCACGTGTCAAGATAAAAATTAACACGTTTGGGCCCAGTTTGACATGTTTTCTTTTCAAAATCACCGATGAGGTAGAGAGCATTTGAAACAACCTGAAAGCTGTTCAGGGGCCTTTGATAAGAGCAGAACAGTTTTAAGCGTTTGCTACAACATGGTAGCTTTCAGCATTGATTCAAAGAAACCTTGCTCTTCACATTGTTTCCGTCACACGAACTCAACCGGGAAAGAATTCAAATACTGAATATAAGAATGTCACTTTCATAATGTATGACTAGAAATTAAGTCATGATTGAATAGAAAACAGAATGAACTTATTGGGTTGCACATAAGTTTTGCAGCTTTTCCCATAACTTTTTTCTTAAATGTAGCACTTTCATTTTCTGGCATCATGTAGACTCTGTTGCAAGTCTCGTAAACCGTTCATTTCGATAACATAGTAGAAAAAACTCAAGCATTTTTCGAAAGTTGAGAATCGAGGTTTCACAGTGTTTTGGCAAACATGAAGCCTTACAAAATGTGAATCAAACATATCAAAAGCAATCATGGGCAGTATTTAGCTAGAATTTAACAGAATAGAAACAGTAAAAAAAAATTGAATTTAAAGACAAATCAAAATAGGGCGCCTATGAGGATTTGCACAAGTCAGATGTGTCAAATTTGGAGGCCATCTGTCAATAACTAAGCCGCGAAAAGTCAGATTTCACTAAAAGTTTGCACAATAGGGTAATCCAACATGGTAAACACGAATATCATATTCAACTGTCGCTAAGATGAAAATTCATTCCTTGACCTTAGGAAAGAGGCCTTTTCATGCGAAGCGGGTCTCATTTTTGTGGTCGAATAATCCCGCTAAGCCCAGTTTCAGCAAAATCTGACGCAACCTGAAATTTCCCAGTACACCGTAAACTCAGCGTAATTCATACATAAAATGGCAAAATTCGCAAAAAATGTCTGCATTTGCAGTTACTTCAAAATTCTAATCTTTCCGAATGAATGCGCTTCGCTCAAAAACACAAAAGCTATATAAAAAGTTGCATTACTTATGTGCCAACCGAATACACTGATAAAGCTAAACAAACTCTTGGCAAAACTTGTTAAACATGTAGATGACAGGTCAATTTTTGACACGTGGCAGGAGGTTGACCCTCCTGTGAATTTTTTACCAAATCTGGTACAAGAAAAGAAGCGATATCCTTTCTTGAAAGAATGGATTGGTATAACGGAAAAGTACCCTCGAATTTCGCGGAACATGGTGTGTGGTTCACTTTGCACCTTTAATGGAGATAAATAACACTGAAGACCGTCCTAGGGATGGTAGGCCACTCACTGCGTACAGGCCCAAGAATAGACAGATCATCCGATAAAGTGCGTCGAAATCCTCAAAAGAGCTTGACTAAAGTGGCATCAGAGCTTCCATCAGTCGTAGAAACGTCTCGAACATAGTGAAAGTGAATATTGGGATGAAGCGTTACCGGGTGCAGAAATCTCACGCTCCTCAGGACGAAATGAAAGTGACCTGTCTTCACAAGTGCCATCAATTGCTTGCGGGTTTGTTCATGGCTCTCGCCGGACCATAGTTTTAATAATTTTTTTTGTTTCTGGACTGCAGGTTCTGGACTGCCAAAACAACAGAGTTATCCTCTTTATGGTTAGAGATACTAATAGCAAGGTTCGAATCGTAGAAAAAAGCTTTATCCAACTTCAGCTATGGTCTGAGCGGAGATCACTTTCGGCAAAATGGCGCTGATTTTCATGCATTAAGCATGAGTAGACGCTGCTACGTACATACTTGGATGACACCCCGAAGAATGCTGCTTCTAGCAGGATAGCCACTTGTGCACAAGGTGAACATTGTTCTAACATGACTTCAAAGCAACATTAAGGACATCATGCTGCTGCAGGGTGGCCTTCGTATTTCCGGACTGTATTTCCTCGACTACACCGTGTGCTCGGTTCTTGGCAAAGCTTGCTCTCACCCGCATAAGACTGCGGAGTCCCTGCAACGTGCTCTTCAGAATGCATGCGATCAAATCGACATGGAATACTTATGTTTATGCCAAAGACAGCTTTTAAAGCGTCTTCGAGCTTGTGTTTGCGCCAATGGAGGATCTTTATATTGTATAGTTACTTTTACACCAAAGTGTTGAGTAAACATATTCATGATTTTATCCAATCATCTTGCACAGTTTCGCGGTTACGATAAAATTATTGTGTTCAAAAATTTCACTCGACTTTGTGCTTGTAAATTTTGAACCGCTACTATCCACTCAATGTATAGAGCTTTTAGATCTCCTCGTTGCGTTCAAGAATGTGTACAACAGTAACTTCAGTGGAGCTATAACCTCCTATCCTTCGATATGCAGTGGAAACCCAGGCTTATGCGATGCAGTTGTGGACTAAATTTTGGTATGTATACTGCTCATTTTTACGAGTTTTCATGTTGCAGAAATGCGTAGGAACTTATTTATCGTAGTACAATGAAGAGATTTTGAATTAGAGAACCAGCAATATTTATGATAAGATTTTCAATCGATTGAAAATCGGGCTTTACAAAAAGATTCTATCTGTTGAACTAGATATGAGATAGGCAGTAATAAATTACATTGCTCCAAGTATCATCAAATGAACTTGGAAGTACAGAATCAAAATACAAAAAAACTTATGCTCAAACACCAAATACATAGCAAGTATGATTCTCGGAAGTGTGTGAGCAGAAAGTCGATGTTCTTGGTGCTGAGTAGGTTGATTCGCCAGTGGCGCAAACAACGAAGAAATGATCACCCTCGGCGACCAAGGCGTTCACCAAGTTGACTTTTGAAGTTGTGGGATCCGAGCTCATGTGCTGGAAAAGAAAAAGGTAGGAACAGTTTTGTTCAAGAAAAAAACTAACCTTGCGGATTACTCGCTTAAGTTCAGGGTTATTGCACAATTTGTCGCTATGCTCTGCTTGGAAACGGAGTTCTTTCTGCTCTTCGACTGATCTGAAATTGGTAAGTGATCAACCTGCTCTCTCTTTTTTCAAACTTGAACATGAAAATTTGTTTGGTACCTTACCTCTTTTTCCTGCCACCACCGCAGCAGCATCCTCCGCCGCCTCCACCTCCGCCTCCAAAAAGAAAACCACAAGTTGGAGCTATGAAGAAAGCAATGGTGACAAGACAGATAAGGTAGGAGTAGGCCATAACTGAAATCGAAGCAGATTATGGTAGAAAGGAAGAAAGACATTATAATGTCGCCACAAAATGTACTAGACGTAAAAAAATCTAGTATGAGAGAAGAAAGAACTCTCCTGGGATCGTGGTCAAAAATAATCATAGAGTGTTTCTGAATCTGAATTTTAGTTGTTTTTTAGCAATTCTGTATTGAAAGAATGGTTAGTGATGAAGTATTGGCCAAACGACTATTCAAAAACTTTCTGAAAAGCTTTACTTGTGCTTGAGCCCAAGAATTCTCCCGGTCTCACACTTTTTCTGCTCCCAAAACTTCAAACTTTGACGACTTGAAGAAAAGGGGATCCAGAGACGATAGCCTACGGAGTCTAGACTTAGTTATGACGCAAGTTGATCAATTGATGGCTTGCATAGGAGAAGTGTCTCTACTCGATTGTCGCTACTATTTATAGCGATACATGGGGGCGTTATGCGCGTTCGATACCGTAACGTACGTAATAACAGCGCGATGCGGAAAGCGAAATTCAGGTCGACTATTATGGCATTAAAAATCTTCTCTATTCAGATGAGGTGCGCAGATGGTCCATGTCTGCACTGGTTCAGCTCGCATGGTTGACTTTTGAGTTCACCGCATCTTCGAGTGTTTCCAAAATGGAAAGAAGTAATTTTAGGGGGGCGTGTATTATACATCTTCAGTTTCTCGTTACAGCACTAAAGAAGATGACAATGAAGGTACAAAATAAGATTAAGTTGGCTAATTTTAACAAGCAAATTCAGAGCTTCATAACAATTTACGTAACAGCTAATCAGCTAAGATTTTTTCGTGGGAACATAGCCTTAAGCTCTATCCTCATATGCCATGTAGTCAAGATTTTCAAAATAATCAAATTATCAAGATAATTTGTTGTGTAGATACCATCTGCATTTTACACCTGACTTCAGCTGTTTTTCGGAGCATTATTTTCCACAATTTAAGGAAAAAATCAGACCATTCTTCTTTCCTGCACCATTTCGTTATCGGAAAAATTATGCTTGAGAAAACAGAGCATTAATCCGATTTCCCTTGATTTGCTCTTTCCATTAATACCATATATACATATAAAAACTGATTTGTGAAAATTCTACAAACCGATAAAAACGACCGAAATTTCTTATTAGCCATAATAACAATTGGTATCGTATCAATATTCTATATAAATTCAAATCAATGTAATATTAGTAATGATATCGTATTGAAAACGTATCAATATTTTAACATTCAATGGTTTTGACTGGAAAATGAAGCTTGCATAGCTTTCTCGAGCGCAGACGGGATTCAAGTAAATTTTTCCTTCTTGGTAACAATAAATGTAGCGGTGTAATTAAAATGCTTCATTTTTTTTGAGCATATCAGCTAGGATAAAGATTATCTCAAAAATCTTTGCAGAGGGAGAGCACATACCACAACATTGGGAATTGATGCTTCACAATTTTGCATTTGAAAGTAAGCTGGTAAACAAACCGCTTATAAGATTGTCAAATGGGGCGCAATTATACGAGAAATCGATGAAGCATGTGAATAACCCTCCTTTCGAAAATAGAAAAGGATTTCTGAACCATTTCTCGACTCATAATTTAGTATGTCTAGTATGCCTATTTTTCTGTTACCAATTGAGCACCCTGGTGAAGTTACAACTCGAAGGAAGAAGAGTGAATACTCTTAGGTATTTGGTTAGGCCCTTTGAGCAATTCAACTTAGAAATTGAATAATACTCGCTAGTGCTTTATGATATTGAAATGTTGCCACGAAACGCACTTGCACTGCTTAACGTCAATGTTCTTTAGCAATAAAATTCTTTATAAGTGTAATTTTAGAAAACAAGAGACTGTGAGAGATTTACATAAACTGTCAGCGGATTTAGCATTTTTGTAGATAAATATATTAATAGGCTTATAGCGTCCTTCTGTGACCGAGCTGAATACGAACTTGATGATTATGCACCTAACTGATAGAAAAAGAAGAAACAGAAAAATTTTTCCGATATTTCATGGCCATTACGTTTTGGAATCTGTAACAACTATGGTTCAGTTACCCAAGTTTGAGAACACATTCTCATTTGTGGATCGTCTACTCGTTCCAGGAAGTTTCGGGTTACTTTTCTTGTTTCTTTTACTCCTACGCCTTCCCTCACTACTTATAAGATCCGGAGAAGGCCGTACCTCAATCTAATTTCCGTATAGTGAAAGGACCGCAACGGAAGTTGGATATACTTTTATTTTTTCTTTATTTCTGTACTCCTTTTTCTCCGACGTCTAGGTAACGAGTCAGTTTATGCCTTTGTAGATTTTCCTTACTTTTCGGAGTGTGGGTGTACTATTACCTATAGGAAATCTCCTACTATGTACTAGTAAATGTTTTCTCGGACTACTTCTTACAATTTTTCAACTATCTTAAATTCCACTGTGTGTAGGGCAGTCAATTCTCATAAAAAGTCCAATTTTTTCAACAAGAAACAATCAAACACTGTCCTTGTTCTCCATATATTCTTTTACAATCTTCAAGTTCTTGTTCAAGTTTTTTTTGTCTCAAAAAATTGCTGATCTTTGCTTCTCCTTCGCCGACGATCATAAAACACTTCTGGCGCTCGGATATTGCTTAATCTGTTGTCTGGCCAGTCAATGTTAAGCGCGCGCGGCAACTAGGATGAATGAACTGGTTTGATTCAGGATGTATTGTAATCAGAACAGCTCTTGGCGCAGTCCTATTACGTAAGAGGCGACGTAAACAAATTAGCATCAGAAGGGAAAAGAAGACGGGGGGGGGGGGGAGGGAGGATACTTGAAAGATGTCTATTGTGTTTTGAGCGAACTTGCATCAATTGCATGCCGGTTCACACTTCTTTGATGACCTTGTGTCATTTGCAAGTTCCTTTATGGGCAAAATGCAAATATTTCAAAAAAATTCTGTAAATATTCCTTAGCATTTGATTTCAACCATTGTCATAGTCTATGAATTGCCTCTAAGTAGGGTGGAAATAAATGGATTACGCAGCGGTTGCGATAACATGGGCTTTTTTGATAATAATCTTCTGAACATCGGCAGGTGATTTTCGGAAAGCCAGTCATACAAAGCTTCAGAAAACCAAAAAACTCGAAATTCACTCCCAAAGAGTTTCGAATCACTGCGTCAGGAAGACCGCGACGTGTCGCATGCTCAGATTTCATGGAAATCTGATTTTCTCACATTTTTTGCTGTATTTTCAAAACGACAACCGATTAGTGGTCTTAAATATTAATAGGAAAAAATCGAAAAATTACTTATGAAAAACGAGGGTGTGGTAATTTTATCGCAAAATCTCTACCACGATGTGATCAAGATCTTTTAAAAAGCGGCGATTTTCTTCAAATTTTATGTTTTAGCAAAGCTGAGTTGTTGTCGCTTCAAAAACACAACTGAAAATGCACAAAAACCCAGCTTTTATTGATTTTCAAGCATGGGTTTCCGATTTTCTACCTGAATTACGGGCTTTATTATAATAGTGTACGCGAAGTATCCCACATCCTTGAACACCATGGACCAGATCATTCAGCTGTGGGACAATCCCTATAGGTCGCGGATTGAGGACAAATCGTTCTACTTCGAACAGGATCGTGAAAGACAAGTTTTCTAAACTCTAAACGATGAGAAACATATGTCGGTTGTCATAAAATCTTTACTAATGACACATTTAATGACTAAAACAATATGAAGGAGCAAACACAACATTTTACAGTGTAAAATTATGCTGTACAGCGTCATAATAATGTTTCATAAGCGCTTGAAAGACAAATTTTGATGTCATCTGGAGATGTTTCATCTGCATCTGCACATTCTTGAATGTTTTCTATCACCGTTCCCTGGCCTTCTATCACAGCACAACCAGTAGGCAGTTTGTAAACCTGGAAAAAAAGAGAATATTGCTTTGGACTACAATATTTGAGGAAATTTTGCAAAGATCAGATTTGTACAAGCTTTTTCTGCAATGAATTAGTTGTGCCCTAAGACTCGATTAACACATTGACGACAATGCAAAGTTCAAGTTGTCTTCTTTTTTGAGAACAAGGCCTGTCACAGATCAGCCAAAATTTTGCAGTTAAATTCGCATACTGCCATCTACAGTAGCTCTGTGAAATTGGCAAGAGAGGTAAAGGTTACTTTTAGCTCCAGCGCAAAAGAAAACTCCTGAAAAGAGTTTGTCTAAGGAGAATGATCATTTTACTAGATTTGAATCTTGGCACACCATGCGTGTCAAGCGGTCGTCAATATGCTAAATACGTTAGTGGAACTTCGTCAAGTCTAACCAGAGAATTTGCACAAAACTTTCGGCCCTATAAGAACTCCTGCTGCTTGCTAACATTTTACGGTCTTGTAGACATCAAAATTTACATCAGCCTGCAAATCGAGCATTCTGCAGAGCCTTGCCTTTTATTTTTGTACTCCTTATCGAATCTATAGCAGTTAATCAGCTCTTGCGCAAAGCATCTCTCAGAACAACCCCAGGAGCTTCCGAGGATAGATAAAATTTGAAGCACTTTCACAGGGTTTTGCTTACTACCACAGAAGTGCAAGTGATGGGAACTCGCGGAAATTTGATGCCAGATTGTGGGAACTTCAGCTGTCCTTACAAAAGCTTGTGGGAATTCCCTGAATGTCCAGCGCAGCTACTGTCATTACAGGCTTGCGAAACAATGCTGGCCAAACGAGAACTCATAGCGAATTGATATATAAATTCACAAGAGTAGGGCAACTTGTTCGACTGCCATACGGTTGAGTTCCACTAAGCATACGATAAGAGACGATTCTGATTCGCTTGGCTTCAGATGATTCTCGCAGATTTAGTGAAATGAGTTTTAAGACGAGCAAAATCACGTTGTTATAAAGAACTTGCCGACTTTGCAGTAGACTTTTTGCATTTATTTACTCTGGATAGCTTTTTATAAGAGTAAGTTTCAATAGTGCCATTAGTTCCCGCTCGTGTTTTTTGAAAAAAAAAAACGACACGCAGTCGCCCAATTCATGTGACATCATAACGTGGCCATATCTCGCTTCAGAATGGACGAGTTCTTGATCCAAAAGAACTACCCAACTCAGCTAGGTAGGGCGCATCTTCTGATGTATAGAAGTGCCCGTTTGAACACAGTAGGAGGCCAAACTCCACAAATCGGTTCAGATTTTTGCTTCAGTAGGTTACTCAGTGTGTTTGATCATTGCAGTCACTAGGCAACTTACCGTAAGGAAAAATCTGAAGCAATTCGTGGAATGTGGCCTCCAAGCGGGCACTTCTTCAAGGGTTTTAGCCACGCTACGGTGATGTTTGAATCGGGCGACTTTGCCGTCGTTTTTCAAAAAGTATATTGTATGTATACAGAGTGTCCCAAAAAGATGTGCACACTGTTTGATCGTTAATAACTCTCTTGCTTTCACATCTTTTTGCCGAGCTTGAGAAGCCATTCTTTAGAGCGAGGTTCAACTTAGATTTAGAGTATAGAGCGAATTATCAGTTGCTTTTCATTACTGTAGGATTACGGTAGGAACTTCGAGAAGGATTTTGAGCTATCAAGAGCGATATTTTTTCTTAGCAAGAAAGCCAAACAAGCCAGAAACTCTTGAAATGGATTAGTCGAAGTCGTTGATTCTAAATATGAAAATTGCGATTCAGTATAGCGCTTCTTTCATGAGTTATTTTAGGTTTAGGGCAACAAGCGGTTTTTCCAATGTTCGTCAGAAATGTGAATACGCCATCAAGAAAGCTCGAAAAACCGTTGAAAAGTTGTGTAGTGAAATCAGCACGCCTGAAAACCTTGCTACTCAAATTTTCAGATTTTTTTGAAATTATTTTATCAAGAGGCCTATTCCACAGCGACGCTGTATTCTATAAGTTCATACCGTAATCCTACAGTAATTACAGAAGAAGGATTGGTGGTTCGCTCCATACTGTAAATTTGAGTTGAATCTCGCTCTAATGAATGGTACCTCAAGCTCGGCAAAAGATATGAAAGCAAGAGAGTTATTAACGATCAAACAGTGTGCACTTCTTTTTGGGACACTCTGTACATTATTTTGTAATATTGCGGAGATTTTGTCGCGCTCTGCATTGTACTGCGAAATCCAAAGAGCAAGATAAAAGGTTTCCTTCCAAGATAAATGGATTAAAGCTAACAAACGCGTCTTCTTCAAACGAGAACCGTGCTTCTACTTCTTAAAAGCATAGTAACCTAGTGTAAGATCAGCGTAGTGGTAACTGCTCCTCCTTCTCCCTCCGTTCAATTTCCCAGATGCTTTTCTAACATTTTAGATGATCTGCTCCTCCAATGGGTCATAAGTCTTGATAAAGCAAAAAATCTTCGCTTCAAAATGACAGGAAGCGACGGAAAAACGGGTGGGCCGAGCGTTCCAAAAGAATTCTTTTCAACTTTTTTGCTTTGGAGCATAACTATTTCAGTTATTTCATCAACTTCATATCAATTTGTAAGCGTTGAAGGCCATGTTAACTCGAATTACTGAGCTCGGCCGCACAATAATAATTACCAAATCTTTGGAATTTCCATTCGCATTCTGCCGACGTGATACCAACGAGGATGTTGCCGAGGATTTTGACAGCACTTGGTATTCGCTGTCTTCGATCTAAAGTAGAAATTTTTTATTAGAAGATACAACGTTTTTTTGCGCTACTAGAAAGAAGAACATAATTAAAAAGAAAAAAACATACCGTTCCCTTCCGACAACATGGCAGCGATGTTAGAACTTCTTTTATCTCTTGTCTCAGAGCATTTTGGCAAGTGAGGTAGATTGGAAGACGACAAGCGCAAGCAGATGTTGTGAGCAATGAGACTAGATCTATGGCGATTGCATAGAAGCTAAAAAGTTTCGGATTTTCCGTTGTATTGAGTGAATATGCAGCCAAACTCACTTCACATATTCCATGAGCATTTCTTTGTCCAAATGTTCCCATATTGTGAGCACAACGCTGATGATGTTACTAATCAGATAACATGAAACTACCATCACAAGAGTTCTGGTCGCAGCACGAGCTGTAGCCTAAAAATTATCGGACTTCCACTGTCTTATAGGAATTACACCAGTGTTAGTGAAGATACATTTCTATCTAGTCGAATATTAGTATAAGACACAATGGCGTGCGTCAGAAGCGATAGGTGATTAATTCGTGAAAATTACATAATCGTACGAGTAGTAAAGCATGCAAAAGAATGACAGTTTGAAGGAAGGAAAAGATAGCAGTGAAAATGACAGTAGAAAGATAGTACAGAAGTAATTGTGCCTAGCAACTATTAGGGTTCGTACTTCTAACCTATAGATTGCGATTTACAAAGGTGCCATGTCTATTCTTCTTCTCCAATGTTTGATGAAGATTCAAATTTGTAAGAAGATTATTAATTAGGTTGTCCCAAGAGTAGAGCGTATTTTTAAACAAATCAATACATTTTTGATTTTCTGGCAGGCATGGGTTATTCAACAAAGTGAAGAAAGCTCTACATAATGACCATCAAAGATCCATAAGTCATAATCCGCGTTAGGTTGCTAATTTAAAATTTTTCAGCTTCCCTAGTTAGCATATTTTCCAGAAAGTACCAAAGGACCGACTAATCGTTCATCATACAGTAACATATAGTAGCATTCATGTGTACATCGGTGGTTTTTTTCGCGGCTCAAAATTAAGGGACGAAAATAGCCCCAAAATGCCAAAGTGACAATTTTTCTGCTTTTTACTCAAACTTGGTATTTCTCGATCATAAGAGCACTTACAGACAAAATTTTGGTATTGTATTCATTAAGGTTTAGTAGAGAATCATATATGTGGGAATTGCTGGGGGCGGAGTTTGGGCTTTTGGGCTTCCTTTTTTCTCAATTTCTATGCGCGAAAAAAAATTCAACAGTGCATTCATAGATATTACTATGTATGCCTTGTATATGATATGTTTTGAGCTTCTAGAATTCTTCTTCGCAAAAACCAAATTTCAGACAACAAAATTTTTTTTCGATTTTCTCCAAACTTTATTTACCTGGATCAGGATTTAGGTGGTTTTTAGTGATCAATTTGTAGAGCTTGCTTCGCCTTTATATAATGGTACGTTAAGTCTACTAGGAAAACAAAAAGAGTTCGATTTATTTAGAAATACGGTTTACCTTTGGGACAGCTAATCGTCTGCAAATTAGAATCGGATTTTTGGAATGCGGCATGCATAGGGAACGCCTTACAGCATTTGAAGCTATCTCCAAGGAGGGGGCGGGGCGGGGGCAGGAACGTCAATGTAAATCAGAAAAGACCGGACATGACTTAGTTCTTTTTTCAGTTCGGTCTCAAAATACAGTTAATAACACTTTAGTCAATTTACAAATCATCGAATCGCAGATTTATGGACAAGCCTTACTAGTGCTCCATTGCCACAAAAACGCCTTTCCTTCTTTCAACTGAGGTCAATCGTAGATACATATGACTCTACCTTGGCGCAATAAAAATCCGCTTTCTGCGCGAAGAGTGGCCCTATCTGCCACAGCAGTAAAAACTCACATTCCAACAATGCTCATACTTTGTCAACCGGCTTACAATTAATGTGAGAATTTAGAAAAAAGTTCGTCAACTAGAGTGGTTGAAAAGTGAATCTTCCTAAATGTTGGAGAAGACATGGGAATTATGTAGGTACAAACTTATATATATCACCTCAAAACTGTAATTTTCTGACTTTTGGCTTTATGACACTTCCTCCCCCCTCCCCCTCCCCCCCCTCCCCGCCCTTCTCCTGATCTACATTAAAATAACCAGATTACGGCAAAGGTTAAGGTCGCTAAATCAATTGCTTAGTGCTGTGTCGAATTAGCGCTTTTGAACGGGGAAAACTGTTCGTAGGTGGGGCACTAAGTTAAATTTAATCAAAGCTACGACAGGGCCGACTATAGAAATTTGTAGTACAGTTTAAGCTACGGCTCTTTCCGTTGCTAAAGACAGTGTCCAGGCTAAACCTAACCCCCTCCGATCAGGACTGACCCCGAATGTGGGCCTCACGAGAGAGGCATTTGCGTTACTCCGGTCCTCTAATGTTGTTTCTGAATGTAGATAAAGGCTCTGGAAAGCCAAAGTGCTATCACTCAGACAATTATTACGAGCATCTGCGGCCCTTAATAGTGCCTTTTGGTGGCGCGCGGGCGTTGAATTTTTATAGTGACCATCCGCGGCCCTTGATTCACTTGCTTGGCGACCCGCGGCTCAATGTTTTCGCTAGTTAAAGGCCGCGGGTTTTAATTGTTCTACCGGGACAACCGCGGTCCGGGAAAAAACACTCGGGCGGGCTACGGACCTTATTGAAAGCACTGCATATTTGGTTTTTCGGACAAGCCCCGGGACTTAATATAGTTTCTGCACCGGGCAAGCCTCGGCCCCTATCGGACACCGCCTATTGTATCTCGGTTATGCCGCGAGCCTTAAAGGTAGTGTCCCGGCAGATTTTGTATTTCCATCTCTTTGGATGTTTTGGGCTTTTTCGACCCGTCCCCGAATTTGAGCCTTGAAACGGGTGAAAAGACCTTTTTCGGGGCGTTTACCCAATTTCCACTAGGCAGCTCGGACGAGAATTCCAATGGAAAGTTGGGAGGCCCTGGCACGAAGACCCTGCTGCTTGTAATTTTTACTTTGGGTCAGCGGGATGACCTGGAAGCCCACCATAACAATGTCTCCCGGGCGCGAATCTGCCGGGATACTGCCTTTAAAGCGCCGTGCACATCATTTTCGGAAGCCCCCGGCCCTTCTAGGCAAAGGCCCAAAAGAATCCGTCTGACGAGCCGCGGGCCTTGCCGGACGCCGCAGTTCTTACGCGCTGTAAGCACGTTACTCGCGTGAGATACGCCGCGCTGATAGGGGCACCCTCAACGTTCAGGTCGTTGCTTATCGCTCCTGGGCTAGTAGTAAAAACGGTCTGCTGAGGTGTCCTCTCCTTGGGTTACTTGAAGCTGGGCCACACGACGTAAGACAAATTTGGACGCATATCCTGACCCATGTGTGAGGGCGTGCGAGGGCGAGGAAAATGGAAACAGGAAAAATGGAATAAATCTACATTACTGCGTTTAACAACTGCGAACCGGGCCACCCGCGGATGCATATCGCGCATCTGTCGGCTGCTCGTCTGGGGTGTCGTTCGAGCGTTTATCGGCGCATCCGCGGGTAACTCTCGACCTCTTAGCGTGCGTTTATTGTACCTCCCGCAGCATAAATGAAACGTCGACGGGGGCCCTTCCGCGGATGGTCTTAATAATTGTCTGCGCAGGCCAAGCCCAGATCCTGTCAGACTCCGCCCACCCATGTATTGAAAGCCGTCCGCGCCCTCAAGATGGGGTCGCTAGGAATCGGGTTTTTTGAAGTTTTGGCCAATTTAGCTTGATAACTGTAATCAGGACCACGGAAGGGCCCCGGAATGGCAAAAACATGGGAGGCAAAATTTTTTATAGACGCTGCCTTTAAATTTCCCTCTTCTACCAAGAAAAACATTTCTGGGATGGATGCTATTGGAGGTAACATGTCGTGAATGGAGACTCCATAGAATCTAGGACATCTATCCTTCTAACCTTGAATTCAGCGCACCTGTCTAATGTTTGCTCCCATTCTTTCAGAATAGTTTCTCACATATTTTTGTTGAGTTTCACGCCCAAAAAACTTTTCTTTTGATGTTGATAGCTTATCGTCAATCGTTGTACCCCCTAGGAGTAACAGACCCAACAAAATATTTTTGCAAGCCCTCTTCAGCGCGAAAAAACATGTTGCACAATAAGTCCATGCACATGCATTCACACAGAGCACGATACATAGACATCAGAAACATGCTTGGAGTTACCTTTCGTCTCGCCGGATCCAAACGTGGATCTTCAGACATCTGTGAGGATAAAGCAGATCACAGGACTTAGTTACAGAGGAAAAGCTAAGTGCTTAGGGAATTGTGCATTTGGGTATAAATGAATTGAGTTGTGCCGAAATAAGCACATGGGGTTAGATCAGAGCAAGCACAGAGGGTACGAAACAAATAGTTGAAAATTGGTTAAAAGAGACAAAAGTTAAAGGACAGCTGACGGTTCAGAAACGAGACATTCTGTTGGTACTGCTTTCTTACTGGATGCCAATTAAGCCCGAATATCCTTAAAAGGCTTGCAGCTACGACAAAATTTGATATTTTCAGCACTGCACACCAAATTCACCACGGTATATCAAAAAAATTTACCTTTCTTTTCGCTTGCTCAACTAGAGCATTACCAGCCAGCTGACAAACAGTCATTTTTGTATGCCGTGTCAGGGCTTTCACGATCCGTATGTTGAAATAGGCAAGAATGAAGAATGGAGCAATTATAGTGACGAAATTACGGTACCTGCAAGCATTTACTGGGAGAGTACGGTAGGAACTTTATGATCTACAGTAACCTTACCAAAATCGCCAAACAACATTGTATGGAGTTTTCGTTACAAGATCCGTATATCCCATCTGAGTTTGTGTTATCAAACCTTCACACTCGGGAATCTCGTAGAACTGTAAAAAATAGACGTGATTACAGATGGCACACACGGAACGCTTTTCTACAGTACCTCAAATTCCAGGCACATCGTACCCTTACTGATCACTCCTAGCAGAATGGCAAAAGCAGCAATATACTTCCGATTTCTGGAAGGGAAAATCAATAATTGATTGTATTCATGAATTTTTGAGTACCTCTGAGCAAATGGTAGAATTGAAGATTTTACTGTTAAGCAATATCGTTCAAATGATGCGCAAACTATTAAGAATGACGATGACGTCATCGCCACATGTGAGATCGTTATCATTGGGACCATGTAGGAAAACCTGAAAACGGCAATTACTTTCTCCTGCCACGCCCCTTTCTCGATTTGTGGTGGCTTGCACAAGATAGAATCACCCCAAGAATTGCCTCGCTACTTCCGAATGCAAAATTTTGTTCATCCCCCCCCCCTCCTTTCCATTAACCCGTAAAAAATCTCGGAACCGCTATTGGTGGATACTATTCAGAATGCCCTGAGAAGCCATCGCCCATGCAGCAGCTGATTTGATTCATTCTTGGCAAAAGAATTCAGCTAAACTCTCGCCGGTACTGTATACTCGAGGGCGCTGATTGGCCTGCTTGGTTAGGTATGGTACTGTTAAGGATTACTGTTTGAATTTTCAGAGCCAGTAAACTATTTGAGCTTCGTTCCAGGTAACCAACGCATACCATTTCTTTAAGCAGTACCTTACATGAGATACCGTAATCGGCGAATTGAGCTTCTTTCGACTGCTCTACTCCCAGCAACCTAGGTAAAAAAACTTACCAGATTTGCATAAGAGTAGGCGAGATCAAGTAGTCGATAAGAATATTCACGGACATCAGAGCAATATAAGCCATACTGACGAAAATGTCGAAAAAAGCCAGAAGCATCAGGTAAAGGTTATGACTCGTACGATGATGTTTCCTAGAAATTCACCCTTGTTTACAAGCAATACAATCGATCAATAATTTAGATTTTCTTACCTTGAGCTGAAGACATAGAATAGTAAAACATTGTTGCATATACTGATAAATGATACAGTTGATCCGAATACGGTAACTAACCAAAATCGTATATTTGTCATTGGTGGTGGATCAAAATGACAACTCTCTGGCGTGGTGGATACCAACGACTCATTGAAAAGAGAGTCATTCATATCTGGAAATTTCATGAGTAAAGGATTTTGCAAGAAAAATTTCCCAAACATAGTCGCGTGATCGGGAACAAAATCTCAAACAAGCAGACAATGATATATGAATAAGCCAAACAGATTTTATTTTACAAAGCAGTTTTAAGAAACTTGTTACCTTGACCTCTTGTGCAAACCCTGATTAGAGACTTTGACTAAGCCCTTCCCCAAGCGGTAACTCGTAGGATAATATAGGGACTTAAAGGAGCAGCTTCGATATCCAGCTCAGACTCCTTGCAAGCCGAACAGTCCTTGTTCTTTATACGGTTTTGAACGAGAGCACTTTGAGTTTTTCAATGGTCGTTAGATTATAAGAGCTGCTGTTTCGGCAAGAGCTCAGATGAGGCCACTCATTCAATTTCCAAGAAGTCCAGACATCCAGTATTTTGCAGGTACACCCTCTGACGACATGTGCTCAAGATTATGTCCGGCAGTTTATCAAATGAATCGGATCTGTTCTTTTAAATTATTTGCGTAAATCAAGCTCTCAATAGCTAAATTATGCAAATCATCAGAGCGAAGTAGGTTCTGACGAATGATTGGTTCTGCTCGGAAAAAGCTTATAAAAAGACATTACTGAGCAAAATGTGTCGAGAGAAATGATTGTTCGAAGATTTGAAACGGCACATTTGAAGCAAAGACTCAACTCGAAGAAAATAACAGTACAAGTAGAAAAAGTACAGAACGGGTTATGAATTGAATCAAGAGAGATTTTATTACAGGTACTGTCAAATGACCGCTTGTAATAGAATTCGAAACGAAGTTCGTTAGGATAACAAGAACTCTTTCCTATTTGAAAAGAGAATTTAGGAATTGGGGACGAGTGGAGTAGCGGTAGGAGGAGGCGCTACCACCAGTTCGGACTAAGGTTTGTTTCCGCCCCTAGGCTAACCGAGCCTCTGCCCTCCGGGGACGGTAAACTGGTACCGATGTAATTTTAGAGGGTAAAAGGGTGCTGCAGACGCCGAATTCTTCATACTTTATTTATTTCAATTCATTCATGAAATACTGATTTAATAAAACCATCAGTTCCATCTTCTAGTAATTTACGTATAGGGTCATCAACACTTAGACTAAAAACCATAAGATTCCTAAAAACAACACGAACACGATCCAAAACGCCTACCGTACCAAAAAGGAACGATGCACGATGTGTTTGAAAGGCAATAGTGCGAATAAAATCGAACAACCACTAGCCCACCTCCTTTTACTAGATACGAATTCGGTGCCATGCATCAAAATAGCGAAGATGTGGGAATTGGATATTGTCGAGATTTCGTTTTTTCCAGATTTTACGGACACTGGCTTAAAAGGATTTGAGACAAAAACAAGTGGATGATGGTGGTAATGTAAAAGAACAGGCTATGCATGATGATTTCAAGAGGCACTTTAGCTGAAAAAAAGAATCCGAGTCTCTTGAGGAAGGGTTTAAAGAGATTTAGGCATAAGCTTTGAACAGTGCTTGTCTACTGAGTTTTACTTCGAGTGAAAAGCTTTTTCCGTGGAAAGTTTGGAGCAAAAAAAATCGGAACGAAAAGCAATAGTAACGAAAAATGATTGCTCCATATCGTAAATCTAAGTTGAAGCCATACGTACACTATGCTAGTCGAACATCGGCAAGACAGTGAAGAAGAGAGTTGACAACGACTAAACATTTTGCACGTTTGAGACATCCATAAAGATATACAAGCTATAGTGTAAATTCTAGGTCTGTAAATTCTCGTTTGTTTCTGTGCAACTCGAATTCTTTGTTTGACTAAGGTTAGCTTTTCTGAGTGGCGTGCAAGTGAATGTAAAGAAATTGAAGAAATATGAAGAAATTTGATTGAATAGTTCAGCCAACACGCAAAATTCAACACACAACAACATTTGCTTTCGAAGCTTCACATCACTGGCGTGCTAGCTGGACACGTCACTTTAGCAGAGATTTTTAACTCTTCCAAAAACTAAGCACATGGAAACTTATGCAAATTTATGCTGTCATCTGCAAATGGTTACTTCCGTTTGTCAAATACAACCTGCAAAGCAACAAGTTTAAATCAATTCTTCAGGAATTCAATTACAGCTGAAGAGTCAAATTATTCATGAACAATGGCCCACAGTAAGCCCCTTCATCTATTAACCTCAGATGAGCCATTCAGAAGACATCTTAGTTTGAATCTGAGGCCTGAGGCAAACCTCACACAGTTTTAGACGCTGCGCGATCTCCTCCTGCAAAAACTCTTCGTAGCTGATCGTAAACACACTTTGCTTGGGTCAAACTTACTGCGTATGGTATAAGTTACGAAAGTTATGCGCCCATGCATCGTAAAGCCGCGCATGCTTAATCTGTAGATGTCTGGCCGCCAAGTCGCGTGGAATTGCGAGAGGTATGCCTAAAGTTTAAGATCGCCCACTTTTCCATGCTCAAAATGCCACTAAGGAAGGCAGATTCTATGAATAATCGAGAGAGAACTGTGCAAAAGAGGAGAATCAGACAAAATTCCCGTAAGTTGCTCAGTACCTTGAGGGACGATTTAGTCGACGTATTGTTGCGGCTCAAAAACGCACAAAACTGCACAATATCGGTGCCCGAAAAAAAGAGGACTGATGAATACTGATTTTGAAGCAAATAATACAAGAAATTCTCTTTTTTTTAAGGTTCGCTGACTTTTTTGAAAAGCTGCTCAAAACGAGAATTAATTCGTTTCGTTTGATTTATGTTGCAACCATTTCATTTTTTTTTACTCCGTCAAAAATTGTTTTTGCTTTATCCATGCTTTTGCTAGGCAAAATGTAGCGGTCATCATCGACTTTGCGATAGTGGCCGCTTCTAAGATTACTCGGCGATGCAGCAAAAATTGTGGCGCTAGCTGATGTTGAACCATGGCCGCCCGCTTTCGGTTTCAATCGTTTGACCAGAACGGCTCCAGCGTTTACTTTTTCAAGAAAACATGACTATTATGCCTAGAAAGCGATCTGAATCCAGTTTGCTTGTTTGATATGCGCTCGGGCTTCCTAAGTTCAGCTCCCGCCCCAGTCGAGTTACGCTGAGGGAGCGGGGTTACTACGGGCCAAATTATGAGGGACCCGGCTCTAGCAGTTCAAAGATGGAAGTTGGAAAGAGCTGCAAAGCAGAGCGCGGATACGTAATCCGACAACTCTGCACTTCCGCGAAGTTGAGAGTTGAAGGTCGAAGTTGAGAAAAAATGCGTGGCAAAAAGCATGTTAGTCTTTTCAATGAATACATTTGCCGAAAAGCTCATTACACAAATGTCGGCAACATTGAACACAAACTTTTTGCTCGAAATTCAAATTTAGTTTACCTCTAGCCGCTCAAGCGTGTTCTCGACACTATGGCGATCTTGGGAAATTTCATGGATGGCACTCGACATCCGGGAAGAGATAATCTGCGATTTCAATGAGGGGGAGAAGTTTTCCATCTTCTTGGGACTTCACCAAAGAGCAGCGTACCACCAAGAATTTTATACAAGACTAACATTATTCCTGTCCTACAAATTCTGGAAAATTATGCATCGAAAAAGCATGTTACAGTTTTTCAAATTTCCTTCGTGTTTCATTCCATACGCAATTTCTCTTGCAAACAGACTTTCTTTCTGTTGCATCTAGAGAATGAATAACTGAAATTTTACTTTTTACGTTAGAAAGCTTGCCACAATTAGTGTTAGCGCCTAGCAAAATGCACCTTGATTAGGAATGAAAAACTCGTTCAAGTAACGGCAAGCCACAAACGCGCTAGAATAGAAAAACTTTTCAAAGCTCTGGAAATGCGCCCATTCACAAATGTGAAAATGAGGTTGAAATTTAAAAAAACGTGGGAAAGCAGCGAAAATGTTGCATTTTTTCAATTGATAGAAGTATGCTTCACTCAATCAAATCTCAATCACAACAAGTATCTTGTTTCTTATAAAAATTTTTCAGAACTTTATCATATATAAGATATCATTTTGTTTAGCAGTCGATATTCATTAGATCATCGGGTGCAAAAGTTCTATCCTTTTAAACTAATCAGCAAATCCCGTGCAGTTGAGATAAACAAACCTTCAAGATGTATCCAATGCAATTCTTCCTATTTCTAGTTGCCATATTCGCAATCTGATATCTTGAGAGTGCTGACACCAAGTCTAATTTTCTTTATTTGAGATTTTCGACGGTGCTCTCATGTTCAGGTGAGATGGCAAACCTTTTGCGACTCGATTCAGTTTTTTGCAGCTCTGCGACTTGTCTTTCAGAATTTCTAAAATATATTTTATAGTAATGGAGCTTTACATTCGGTCTACACATTTTAACCCTCTTGGTAAACAGTTCAGGTATCATTCGAAAAAACTTTTTCTTTTCTTTCTAAAAGTTGCTTTTCTTGACGAGACACGCAAAATTTGCGGTAAAATTGCAGTATTTTGGAGCAAAAATCGCTTATAAACTTTTACAGATTAGCAGTGGGTTTTTGAAGATACCGCAGTGTCTTTTGCAATGTGTTATGTGATTTTTTTGAAATTTAAATGGAAATCTAAATAAGATGCCGAGAAAAGATAAGAAGTTGCCGTAATTGGCAAATGGTTTGCCCTATCTGCTGGCTACCAAAGCTTCCTTAAATGTCACTAAAAATCTTGTAAATTAGCGAAAATTGGATATGCCCAAAACGAAGGGCTGTGACCAACGATTATCTCGGTGCTCTTTTGGTAAATCACATACGAACACGCCGTTGGAAAGAGGAAAATTCTGCATCGGATAAGGTTTGAAGTGTTTATTATCTTTACTGTATGGAGCAATTTATTTCAAAAATGTGACACTTTGGCACCGACCTAACATTACTTATTTCTCTTTATTGAATGCTAAAATTATTTACTCATTATTTTTCTTCTTTCACAAAATATGCGTGAGTCTTCATTTGGCTTTAAAACGCGTCTAATCTACGCAGTGATCTTCATAAGCACTTACGTGTTCCGCGCAAATCCAAATGAGTAAAA